CACCACTTAATTCATTTGATTACGTTAGAAAATAAATAGTTCCTTTGAGTATTGTTTTTATGATTTATAACACGTTTTAATAAAAGGATTGTACTATGAAGACTACTATTATCAATTACTGCTTACTTTATTACTATATATATATATATATACACGTATTTATTTTTTTATGAATATTTTATTTTTAACACAATTTAATTTTTTTTTATTTTCATTTTACTTTTCGTATCTCATGTATTTATATTTAATTGTTAATAAATAATAATTAAATAATAATCTAATATTTAAATAAATTAAATAAATTTAATCGATATAACCGCCAATATCCAAAATGGATGGACAGTTTAAAAAGAAAATATATTTATATACAATATACACTAGATATAGAAATTATATCTATTATAAAACAACCATCCAGCACATGTAGAAGTTATTTAAAAATCCATTTCAACTTTTATAGTATATGCTATTTATTTAATTTGATTTAAATGAATTCATAATATCAAATATATTGTAATTTTTTATAAAATGAATAAAACTGACTGTTATAATAATCGATAACTGAACCGTAATTTATGTATATATAACTTAATTGTACCTTTTAGTACCAATGATTATAATTATATATAATGATATCCTAACTCAGTAAATTTTTTGTATATGGTATATTACACTATTACGAAACCTTATCATAATATATATACATATATATAAATTGTGTACTTTTATTTATGTGTCTAAGTTAATCTGATAGATTTATGTGTGGTCAACGGACAGTGGATTTCTACCTATATATACTTACGTTCTTTTATAGTATTTAGATTTTATTGCTCCAATAAGAGCACAGACAATCCTCTTTTTTATACATTGATTTAAATCCTTACGTATTTGAGTAATATTAATCTTATATTTCAGTATATATTTATTTGATTCCAATGTATTCATTCATTATTTGCTATATATTTTATATTTGTTTATTTTTTTTTTGTGTATAAAAGCAGGTAATATTTGTATGAGTATAAAGCATATTTTTAAACTATATAAAACATTGTTTTAATAAAAGAATAATATAAATACGCTTCTTTAGAAAATTTTCATTGGTTGACGTCAATGTGAAATATACAATGTATACTGCGGTTTCATCCTGCTGACCGGTCTCAAAGTGATTTTATTGTCACCACCACCACCAACGCCGCCAGTTGCGTAAAGTTCTTCTGTCGTTACTACGTACGTCTGCACACAAATAAATATTTTTACGTATGTTCCCAAAATTCGCAGCTAAGTTCCCGTGAATCGTTCAAGAATAATAAAATTTTTGTTTTATTTTGCTTATTTCGGGGGGCATATACCATAATTATTTATATACGATACAATTCCATACGAATTGTTATCTATTGGCACTGATATGGGTTTAAAGAATTAGACTGAGTTTTATCGCAATCGCAAAATATTTATATATATAAAGAGCTGGAAGCTAGTTTAATCATTAATCAGTAAGCATTTAAGAATAAAGCTAAGTAGACGAAAGTTGATCAGAAGTATCTGTCAATTTAGCAAAATTTATTTAATAAATCGTAATATAGAGGATATATTAAATAAAACGTTTCGTGAACGAAATTAAAAAAGTGCATAAAAGTTGTTAACTAAAAATCATTAAAATTATTTCCTTGTTAAATACAATGTTTGGTGAAAAAGTTTTACAAAGTGAGTTAAATATTTTTAAATTTTTAATTTTATAACCATTTTTTTTTATTAATAAAACATTTTGAACATGAAGTTGTGCTTTTAAAGTACTTTAATTAGAAAGACTAAATATTTTGTATAAATTTGTTTAACAATATTTATATATATTTTATTACTAGTTTTTAAATTTAATTAGCAAAAATTATTTTATGCAGTTTTTGTGAAACAATTGACATTTATTAAAATGTGAAATAAATTAATTAATTTTTTTCATAAAAAAAGTGACTTTTTATACATATGATTTGGCTTACTTGCAATATTTTTTTTTATTACATCATATTTACAATTATGACTACAGCAATATTTTACATATGACATGATAAACACAACGTTCCCGAGGTTCTTAATTTTGCGTTCATACTAAAATGTTTTATAAATATTTCAACTTTGCAAATATTTTTATTTAGTATTTTTGTTTTTATTAAAAATTTTAATATGTAGAAGTAGCTTATTTTATAAAAATAGTTTCTTTCAATATAATTAACTTAAAAATCAAATTAAATTTTTCCATTATACTTTAGTTAAAATTTATTCAAGTTTAAAATGTTTCCTAAAAAATAGAGTTGCAACTCCAAAAAGAAATAAAATAAATAAAAATTCTTTGAAATAACTGAATATAAATGATATATAGTATAACTATTCTTACTGTGGAATAATATAAAATATGTACGAGTATACAAATAAAATTATTGTTTTTAAAAATTTATTTTAAAAAGTAATTTTAAAAAAAAATTAAAAGAAAGCAATATTTTATAATAATATTAATAACATTAAATATATTATTTATATAATTTTTAATTTTACATAATATTTTAAATTATATAATTTAAAAATAAATTAGTAATAATAATTTAATAAAATTTTTTATAAAAAACAATTTAAAAAAAATTTATAAAAAAAATCTTTCGAAATATACTATAGAACTAGTAATTATTATAAAAAATCATTTTTTATTAACAATTTATTCAAAAAAATTTTAAAGGAAATTTAAAAAAAATTTGTGTCGCTTTCGAAATAATTAATTATTACTATTAAAATTATTTTTTTTGAAATTACTTAAAAAAAAAATTACTTAAAAAAATAAATCTTAAAAAAAGGCTTTTACTATAAACACCATTTTATAAACAAATTTTTTATAAATTATTTTTAAAAAAATTTGAAGAAAATCGATAGTACTTTTAAAACAATAATTTGTTATTAAAATAATTTTTTATTTAAAACTTTTTTTTAAAACGTAATTAAAAAAAATTAAAAAAATCAATAGTTCTTACAAATACGTTGTTTTGATACTCTATCTATAAATCGCTGAACGTTTCGGTGTATTAAATTTTTTTTTAATGAGAACAAATCATTTAAGTATTATAATGCATGAAATTACAATAGTTTATAGAAAGTTACAATACAAATTAAATAATCAAGCAATAAAAAATATTTTTACTGTTATAATTTTTGAAACTGCTAAAATCAGCTTAATTTTAACTAAAGAGAAGTTTTTTATTTAAATTTTTGCATATCAAAAAAAAAATTTATGATAACAAAAATTTTATTAATATATCCTACAAAATTGATCATCTTAATTATATTAGTTAGATTACCGTATATCAATATTAATCATAAGTTGCCTTACCAAAACCACTATGGAAAGTAACTAAATCCTTAAGTTCTTGTTTCAAATTTTTCTAAATTTTTCATATCTTTAATTGTAATGTAATTATAAGATATTAAGTCATCTTATGTTATAATTAAAATTCAATTAACAATCAATTAAAGACCACTTCTCTACTTATCGTCAAGTGAAAACCCTAATTAAATAAATAATTGGGTAAGTTCATTTAATTTGGCGATTATGGCCCGCTTATCAGTGCACCGTGAAATTTGTTTATTTTTGACATCTTATCAATATTTCGATTTTATCGATGAAATGTAACGCAAACACTGACCTAACATAACAATGTTAATAAATTTAATTGTATAAATTAAATAGCCACTCAAAATTTTAAACTTTCAATGACAGCAGAACGAAAAAAAAGCAGAAATCATTGAGTTTCCGAAATGTTATTCATGCAAAACTAACATAGTGAAAACGCCCACATGATGGCGCTGGAATCATAGCTCATCTACAAATCAAATTGGCTCGTCACAAGACAAGTCACCCACGCTTCAGTTGAGCTAAAAATAAATTTTAAATTTTTTATGCTACCATAAAGTCACTAAAAAGCTAAAATTAACACGTAATTATACTGAGCCACACGCAATTTCAGTTAGCGCTTGAAATTTGCATATAACCACAAAAAAAAGCAAAACATAGACATATATGCAGACGGACAAATCAAAGAAGTGCGGTGGAGCAACAAAAAAAAAGCTGACTTCAACAGTCAGCTTTGTAACAAAATTCAAAACATGACTAAAATCACGATTTAAATACTGCACAAGTAAAAAAACAAAAAAATTTAATTAATAAAGGAAACACAATGCTTGCATTTGCTGCCTTAGTAGACGAAAATACTGAAAAAATCATTTCGTAGTGGTTTTGTTTTTTTTTGTTTTTTTGTCTGTCTCACACTGAAATCAATTGAGCAAATTAATTTGTATAAAATTTTTACTGTAAATGCCGGCTAAGGCGAAGACAAGGGCGACCGCAACGCAACACACAACGTATGAGTAATACGTAATTTCTTGTGAAATCATAGGAAATTTAGCAAAGTTTTTAACAAACCAAAACTAAGTGGGAGAAGTGTGTGGTGCAAACTATAATTTATGTTAGAATTTATTTATGCTACTCTCTTTGTGTTTTTTCTCTTTTTTCTTTTTTATCAGTTTCTCCTATTATTTGTTAAGCAATGATAACATATGTATGCAGTTGTTCTGAGTTATAATTTCATTGAACAAGAGCAACAACAAACAACAAACAGCGACCTTGCACAATATACATGTATCAGCTGTTTCTATATTAATTACAAAAACAATGAGAGTATAAAGCAACACCACTACAAAAAAATTACATTATAATAAACTTTTTTTTTACAATGATAGGTTTTGCTTTAAAATCTTAAGCTTCTGAATATGCCAAAGCTTTGTAAAGTCAACGAACCTGGGGAGAGAAAAATAACAAAACAAAACAGAAAAAATAACAGCAAACTTTGCAAAGAAAAAAATTTGAGTAATGATAAAAATACAGCACAAAATTTGTGTGGAGTGAGAGCGCAAGTTGTATGCAGCCCACTTAGCCCCGCCGATATCAAATGCACGTGAAACATAAACAATATGAACTAAAAGTTATACTAAAATTATTTGCGGTACTCATATTTAATTTCAAAATAACTTTGAACTTGAGTAATAAATGTTATTATGGTTTTTGTTTACTAAACGTGTAGGTTTGACTATTTGTTTATTTTTGGCAAATGTTCTTGAAAATTAAAACCATATAAGAATAATTTTGTTAATGCAAGAAATGTAAAGAAAGTAGGCGAAATAAGTAATACATATATAAATATATAGATGTGTTCTACTTAAATATGAAAGCAGAAAAAATATTTTTTATTTTTAAACTTGTTTGTTGTGTTTATCAACATTACTATATACTTAAAAATAACATGAATACTGATATTATAATCTATATTTAACTTTGTTGAATGCAAGAAAACTTTCTTATATTACTTAAATTAATATTTAAAAATAATTAACGTTTTAAGTTTCAAACAGAAATTCGCTTATGTTTCAGTTTTCAAATAACACACTTAACGTTATACCCGCATATATGACTCAGTTAGTTTTTTTGCTACAAGCAAGCTTTTATGAATGAAAGCTACATACACTCTTCGCCAACGAGTGAGTACAATTTCAGAATCAAAAAAAAAAAAAACCCGAGCAAGAAGATGATAAGAATCTTATATGAATGACTTCATATCACTGAAAATGTGGGCAGTGCCCTTAAATATTACCAAAATTTAAGCAGAAGTATTTCTATTGGATAAAACACACAAAAGAAAATCACTTTCTTCACTTACAAACACACAAGAAAAGAAATAGTGCTTTATACTGAGTATAGCAACAAGATCCATTTTCTACAAAGATAACAGAATATACATATCCCACCAGAATAGTAGGTATAAATAAGTTAAAAAGTAAAAATGAAATGACTGTATGTCGAAATGTATATTAGAAAATTTTCAAGAAAACCCCTTATTTATAATTGTGTGTGGGTGCAAGACTTACTCAAAAAGAAAAACACTCTCAATTCAATGTAAGCATGTAAAATATCTGACTGTCTTGTTACTACGCTTGAGTTACTCATGCATTACAGGTGTCCGACTCAACTGCTTGCCATGTAGTTTACTCAAAAATACGCACACAACTAGAAACTACAACAAAATACGCATTGCAAAGAGAGAAATTTTATTATGAAATAATAATCACTCACACGTGCGCCTACTTAACTTTTCTGCTGCATGTGATTCCCTATATTTTGTTGTTGCGTTTTTTATTTATTTTTGTTTTTATTGCATTTGATAAAGAAAATTGCATTTTAATAGCATATTTTACATTTTTCACTCAATGCATAGCGTAAAAGTGGGTTTTTTCATTCGGTATTTTTTGCTGTTATTGTTGTTTTTGTTTTAGTTGCTGTTTTTGTAATGGTTGTATTGTCATTTCGTATGTAAATTGTATGTGTAATTGGTACATTTGCTGTACAGCAAATACTGAAAACACTGAAAACACTGAAAACTGTTTATGGATGAGTAATACAAATTGTGCATTTGCTTTGGAATTTGCCAGCGTAAAACTCAATTTATATTTAGCTGTAGCTGGAGCGGCACACAAAAGTTTCTCTGTGTGTGGTTGTATGGTTGATTGGTTGGTTAGTCGCTTTTAGTTAGGTTGCGGCTGGTTGTCGTAGGCTAACTTAAAGATTTTAGTCATTCAAGTCAGTTTAGTTAGTCAATAAAAAGACAGCGAAACGTAAACAACGAATATTTCATTTGAATAAATCTTAAACGAACGAAAGCAACTTAATAATTTATTAATTCATTTATTAAGGCTTATAAATATTTATATAACATATATCGAATAAATTCAGTTTTGAAGTGTCCATAAAAATTTAAAAATTCTTGTTAGTAGTGTTATGTGAATTAATATAAATTATCTAAGCGATAAAAACCATAAATTGATTTAAAAAGGAGTCATTAATAAAATCATTAATCAATAATTATATACTAAAATTATAATTAAATTAATTAACTTAAACCTCTTATAAAGCAATTTATATTCTGTGTTAAGTAATCGTTTTATAAAATCTACCAAAAAGGTATGTGATTGAGATCATTTTTATATGATAGTAATTATTAAGTTAAGTAAAAGTAACTCAGTAAATAATTAATTTTGTTGATAATAAAAATTAAATTAGTTTATTGCTTTGAATTTTTTAGAGTGGTGATGAAAAGTAGTGACCTACAACAACAAAACTCCTTTTTATATTATTTTAATTAATTAAATATTTTTTTTAATTTTTAAAGTTTTAATTTTTCAAAATAACTTCTTTAACCTTATTTGTTTAAAATAAAAAAAATTAGTTTAAATTTTTAATTAATTAAATTTTTTTTTTAATTTTTAAAGTTTTAATTTTTCAAAAAAACTTCTTTAACCTTATTTGTTTAAAATAAAAAAAAATAGTTTAAATTTTTTTTTAAATGTTTGAAAAATGAAGCATTATAAAGACTTTATTGGTTAAATATTAATCATTTTCTTAGTTTTAATTATTTGAAATCATACTAAGGCCTTATTTAGTCAAACTTCGAAAAAAGTTTTGTTTAAATTTTTTTTTAATTCTTTTATTTATTAAAAATCATAAAATATTTTAAAGCCCTATTTGGTTAAATTAAAGAAATATTTTTCAAACAATTTTTATATTTTTTCAATTTATTTTTAATATTTTTTTATTAGAGTTGTTATATTTATTTTAATTCTTTATTTAAAACTTTTTTTTATAATATTGTGTACTCCTGTTTTTAGTTTGTTTGATTTTTTTCAAATTATTGTTTTAATATATAATATATATTAAATTTTTTAAATCTTTATAAAACTTAAATAGTTAAATAGTCCTTTTTTAAATATTTTGTAATACTTTTGTTATGTTTTTTTTTTATTTTATTAATGTTTTCTTTATTATTATTTTATAAAAAATATGTTTTAATTTTTTAATGATTTTTAAGATTAATTTTGAAATTTTATTTCAAATTATTTCGTTTAATTTTTAAACATTTTTAATATTTAATTATATTTTCTTCGCTTCATATTGGTTTTTACATTTCTGTTTTTCTTAAACTTTTTCTGTTTGTTAATAAGATGAATCATTGCATTAATTGAGTATTATTAATTAATTGAGTGGAACCGTTGAAATGTTTATTCTTTTTATGAAATGTCAGTAACAAAACCAAAAAAAATATTTGCAAATAATAAGACATGTTTTGACGTGTATACTTTCTAAACGATTTTAATAATAAATATCTTTTAGAATGTTTACGTATTTTTAAAATATTATGTGTAATTTGATTAAAGCATTTCATGCAATTTTTGTTTCAAATAATGATTATTATAAAAAAATTTTAAATTTATTGCCACTTTAATTTTAAAAAAAATTAAAAAAAATTAAATTTAGAAAATTTTTAAAAAAATATAAGATATTTATTAATGTCTATAATTTTAGGAATATAATAGAAGGAATATTTGGGAATATAATTTATATATAATAAAGTTAGAAATTTCTTTATAGTTGGGGAAAAATATTATATCTTTCTGACTGAATATCACGATTCTGTGAATGATCCCACAGTGGAATGCTTGGATGTAGCCAAAAAGAGGGAACTAGTATTGTTAATTTATATTCTGTTTTCCTATATTTAATGAAATATTTTATATATAAGTATATAAGTTTTTATTTTGTATGTATATGTAGGCTTGAATAATTTATTATTTACACAAATAAATTAAAAAAAATTTTTTATTTTTCTTTTATTTATATATATGTATGTAACGAAATATTTTTAATATAATTTATTTTCAATAACTATTTATTTAGTTTGCATAACCATATCAACTATTTAATCACACAAATAAATTATTAATGTTTTTTTTAATTTTTTTAATTTTAGGCGGTTGCATAAATAGCGCAACCCAAAACACTAACAAAACGGCTAAAGTAAATAATTTGAGATTGCTCAACGATTCCACACGTTTTTGCATGAGCAATAATACCAGCAGCAGCCAATGCAGCAGCAACTGCATTAACTTGAACGTGTGGTATTGTCGTCGTAAGTGCAACGACGTCAGCAACAATAACAGCAACAAGATAAGCACCCAACGCCCCTTAACACTTTTGCTAATGACAATGACTATAATGTTGCTAACACAAATGCCCCAGAGCAGCTCAGCCGCTGTATTAAGAGAAGAAAATTCTTCTTCACTGACCAGTTCGGTGGAAGAATCAGCGTCGGCATGGGCAGCAGAAGAGGACTTATTGCCCCAACACTTTCCAGATTTGCAGCTCGACAGTGGAGTTCGTAAACGTATTCGTCTACGTAAGCGAGAAAATAATAAATATTTTCAAAATGATTTGGATGTAAATTCAACAACTTTGGAATGGGAGAATCCATGCAATGGCGTTTATGACCCAACTGAGGAACCACTCAAAAGACAAGCACCAATGTGTATTGTAAGTATAGAAATCAAATATAATTATGTACGCTATTTTCTGTTACTTATACTATGTGTAACTTTCTTTCGCTTTTATCATTATATGATTATGATTATTATTAATATTTTTTTTTTTTAATTTATAGTACTTAAATCAGCTTCGAGAAAGCGTTCAGAATAATTTATCCCTTAACGAAACATTGAAGGAAATTGACATCAGCGAAGCCTATATGTGGAGGATGCACAGCGCGAGGTACAAGTTTCTGCCGAAATTAAAGCAAAACTCAGACGTAAGTTTCACTTAGAAAACTTTAAAAATAATATCAAGTCAATACATATATATATATAAATATTCCACATACCAGCATTTGACACACTTTTAGCTAATAAATTATTAAGAAAAATATTTAGAAAACCACTTAAAAAATAATATGCCAATGACAAATAAAAAAAAAATTGGAAAAAATATTACAAACATATTCGTACATTGAAAAATATATATGAAAAATATTTATGAAAAATAGTTGAAAATTAATAAAAATTTGCATATAAACGCAACTAAAAATGCCTGAAAACCTAAAAACTCTCATCGTGATTAATTTCAACTTTAGACACTTGACTAATTTTACATGCGGCGGAATTTTTATGCTGCAAAATCATAAAATTGACAAACTAATCTGTCAAATCGGCATTTAAACATCGCCATTCAGCATGCAACCGTGCAACTGTGCAACTGTGCAGCAAGAAGCATCAAGCATAAGTGCAACTATGCAACTATGCAACATCTTCCTGTTACTGGCAACAGCCAGTATGAGTGTAAGTGCCGTAAGCGATGTCGTTGCAACCGCAATGCATACCATGACAATTGGGACAATTGCACTTGACCAGCGGCTAACTTGACGTGACACATTCGCTCATGTGATAAATAATGCAGCTGTGCGCCCTCAAGTGCTTTGACTTCAACTGCCAACGCTGAACACTGCAGTGAAGATGCACTGTGCGTCAAATTGAAACTCAATAGAAACTCTCCGCTATGCTCTGCTCTTGCTACTCGATCCATTCACTCCATCATGCATACATATATATTGTTGCAAAGTTATCTTTTAAAACTATTAACATCAGTGATGCTCTGAAGCGATCTATGTTGTCTACAGTTGCAGTTATGGCACATAAAATAGGCTTTCCAAGTTGTTAGCACTTCTTATATTTTAATGTGATTATGTGAACTTATTAAGTTTCATGATAGAAATGTATTAATTCAAGTATCTTCGTGAGCTTCTGATTACTGCTTAAGTCAGATTTCTGAGCGTTAGGAAGCTGACAAGTGCTTCCTAACGCTCTTCTCTCCTTTGATTTCTATCCGCCTTTTCACTTCTACTTCCATTGCTTTTAAGTTGCTGTATGCTATATATTATTTATGTTAGTTTCAGATTTTGTATATATACAAGTATCATATAAAAATTAAATATTTTGAAAAACACGTTTTCATTTTCCAGTAATGAATTCCCAGTTGTAGAATTGAAGTAGTTTAGTGAATTACGTACTATCTTTTTGATTTACATCAAACTTCCAATAATTGCTGTTACCTCTTATAGACACTTATCTTTATAGTGTTATTATCTAGAATACTTTTTTATAACCTCAGTGCTTAGAATGGGGCGTTTACTGTCTGTCTGAGTGAATAAGAAGGTATGCGAAGAAAATTGTGTAACATAAGTGTGTCAGGGCTAGAAATATAGTTTCTTAATAGTATTAAGAAAAAAATTGATTTAAATTTACAATCTCTAAAAGTTCTGATTTAGTTAAATAATTCTTTTGATTATAAAATAATTGCAATGGAAAACTTTCAATATTCAAGCTCAATTAAACCCAAAATGTATGATTTTTTAAATATATATAAAACAACTACATAAAGTGTTCACTATATGATTAAATATATATATTAGGGGTATTACTTCAGCGGCCAATATATAGCACTTAAATTTTACTTAACTTTAGTGTGCATTGAACACGACCTCAAAATATTAAATTATTATATTTAATGTTACATAACTTAATTCTACTGGGCTTAAGGTCTATGTCTAACACTTAAGTGTTACTTATCCTTAGTGTGCACTGAAAACTGGGCCTCATACTATTATATTTTTATATATCAATTTGTTGAACTTAACTTCATCAGGCTGAACAGTTAAGTGTTACTTAACCTCAAAGTGCATTGAAACCTGGGCCTCACACTATTACATATATCTGTATTAAATTAATTTCGCCGCACTTAAGGTCGTTTATTTAACAAAATTAAAAGTTAATTAAAACAAACTTATCACATATATTGTTAAATTTATTCTTATTCCTTTCAAAGAGTTGTCGAGCTACCAGGCAAGCCCACTTTAGTGTGTTTTTTTTATTTTCTTTTGTTAAAAAATTTTCAATATTTTATATTTATTTTTTATATATCAGTAAAAATTTTCGTACTCGTTGCTTCAAATTAGTTGCAGTATTACCACTACCCTAGTATTTAGATTCAAGTTTGAATATAAGTTGAAGTTTAATCAATATTATTAAAGAACTCCATAAATTAGTATAAACAATAACGAAAGAGAGAGAAATTCTTTAAAAAAATTAAAACTATTTAAAATCTTGAACCGTCTTCCATTCTTCATCTTGATGTTCATCTCATATGTGGTATAGGTTGATATACAACATTAACCTTAATGCAAATGTCCACATCAAACATGAACGCAAGTGCATCACACTTTCAACAAGTCAATTAAAAAATTATACTTAACTTTACTTAAAAAGACAACAACAAACAACAAAGAAAGTAAACACTAAACACTGCAGCTGAAAGTTCGCTGGCTGGCATAATACCACACCACAGTAGGTCCAAGCAGAGCAGAGTAGAGCAACAGCATTAACGCACGTTGCACGTACCAAAAAAAGTTGTGCGTTAACTTGACAATCACCGCCCTCAGGGCATGAATGCGCATACGAAGTTCAAATATACAAAAACATAAAAGCAAAAACAAAAACAAAATGAAAAAAACACCGGCAAAACAAAAACAAAAGCACAGCCATTTTTAAGCGAACCACGCTTAGCTGGGTTAAAAACCCTTCTTATTTCCATTGCATGCTTTGTCTTGTTGCGCATTGCTTGCTTGGCATGAAACCAGTTCTTCGCAGGCACTGTCAATGCGCTGCACTCGGCACTTGGCAGTCGGTGCTGTTGCTGGTGCTGGTGCTGGTGCTGTGCTTGCCAAGCTAAGAATTAACAGCGTAATTTGCATAAGAGCTGCTGCGGTTTGAAGTTGCAGTTGTGTGTGT